ATGGCCCACCTCTCCAGGCCCAGCTGATCTCGTTCCACTTCCAAGGAAAAGCTTGGCTGCAGGTAACCTACCCTCCTACAAGGCCCTAAAGTCAGATTTTCATAATCTTAATGCAGTTTTTAGTAGTTTTTGGACAAAATTCCCAAAGATTGCTCTGGTTCTGATAAAGATTGAAGAGGGGAGACAGCTGAGTACCCTTGGAGTATGGAAAGCACTGCTGTGGTTTGTGTTTGTGTTTGTTATTTGTATTTAGCAGCTTTCAGAACAATTGACAGCCACTAAACGTGCTCATTGTTAGCAACTAAAATATTTAACCTGCTGCTGTGTAAATAATTCATCCTTCCCTTTCCTGGCTTCCCCTCTCCCGCTGGGGCAGTGCAGGAACACCCCCCACACCCCACCAGGTCCACACAAGCACCAGATCAGGGAGGGAAGGGACTGGAAAGGATCTTAAAGCCCATCCAGTCCCACCCCCTGCCCCACCCTCCCAGCCAAGAATTCCTTCCCAATATCCACCTAAACTGCCCCCTGTCACTTTTTGAGGCCGTTAATTCTGACACAGAGCCCAGGCAGTTCTGACCAAGAGCCAGATGTGTGAAGGACCAAACCATTTCCCTCTGCAGAGGGAACAGAACAGTGTTCTCCAGAACACAAACACAAGATGCCTCCAAACCCTCCCGCTGCCACTGCTCCACTCCTCCCCTTCCTCACCCTGAACCACCATCCCAGACATCTCATCCCACCTGGGAGCAAACAGAGCAGCAGGATGGGGAGGTGGCCCCAGTTCCAGGCCTGGCTTGGCAGGAGGGGAGGGGAGCAGAGAGGAGCAGCCCCGAGGTTAATTTAGTGCCCTACGAGCGAACGCTGGCAGGATTTGGGAATTAATTATGGTCCAGGGGATTGTTTCCTTTCGAGGGTCACAGTGGGAAGGTTTGATTTGTCTCAGGGGCCTCTGTCAGTCTATTTTCTTTCTTGTACCAATCAAACATGGTTTGTTTTAAGCAGCTGCTAAACCGAGCTGGCACGGTGACTCCCAAAGCTCCTGCTGGGAACCAGCACATGCCGGGCACAAACACCAGCCCAGGAGTCCCCTCTGCTGCTGCAGAGCTGAGGGCAGGGCCTCTCCCCAAACACGCTGTGGGATCTGTGGAATTAGCAGGAAAACAGAACACGGGGAGAAATAATAACCATGGGATGGCCTGGAGTTCTGGAGTCACCTGCCGTGACCAGCCCAACACCAGTCCCAGCACCAGTCCTGCCCTGCTGGCACTCCCAGCTCAAACCACTTCCAGGCCTTCTGATTCTGGTTGTTCAAAGCTATTTCTGGGTGATGCTCCTTCTGCAGGGTCTGAAAGTCAGACTCACGTTCACTGCAGTTAAAATTAGCTCCATTTATTTACTGCTGATGTGTGACCCAGCAGGGCAAGGACCAGACAGGATTGTGGATTTAAAGGCAGGTTTTGCAGAGCAGCTGCCATTTGAAAATCTCACCTGCTTCTATTGCACCTCATCCCATCCATTCCCACTCCTGGGAGCAGCCTCTGATCCAGTTTTCCCCCTAGAGAGCTGAGCTGCAGTGAACCACACAGACAGGAAGACCTGTCCTGCAGTGAACCTGCTCCAAGCACAGGGTACTATTTTTGCTTTTCAGTGTCTCTGTTCCAGATCAGTCAGATAATATTTGCAACAAAGTCTCATGGAGACCAACACGGTGAGGGGGGAAAGAGGGAGAAAGCCAGGGATCCCAGGGAAAGGCAAGGGCAGAGCTGGGGGTTCTGCTGGAGGGATGGAGAGCAGCAGGGATGGGGTGGTGGAGGCCCTGGTTTCATCAGCACATCAGTTACAACCATGACACTGAATTCTAAACTGCTCCGGCTTTAAACCTGCACAGGTTTTGGGGGTGCAGACACAGCAGGGTCAGGATCCCTCAGCGGGGTGGGAAAAGCTGAGGACTGGAATTCAAGGAAAAGCCTCTGGGCCACGTGCATTTGATCATCCATGACCTTTATTGGAGACAGCCGGGTCATTTATTCTACAGAAGCAACATCACACCATTCTCTTCCCCTTTAACTCCTTTTAGTCTCCTTAGAAATCTGTAGCAAAAGTGCACTTTGAACAGTTTTTTTAATCTATAGTATATATCTTTCAATATTATCTCTCAGTCAGGTATTTCATCTGTAAAAACGTATCGCCAGATATACAAAATACGTCTAGTGTCCTACATTAATTATTGTATTTACTGTTTCATTATTTTTTTGACTCAGTGCTCTCTTCTTTTTTTTTCTTTCTTTTTTTTTTTTTTTAAATTTTTATTTTTATTTTTATTTTATTTTTTTGCAAGGCTTGGTGATGCCAGTCTGCTGGTGGCACCAGCAGGAGAGGACTCACAGCTTGTGTGTGGAGAAGGGGAGACTCTCAGCCAGGAACAATGGGCACACAGTAAGAACAGGATGACAAGGACATCTGCTGCTGTTGAACGTGTCTCTCCAAATGACAGTACTCTGGATAATAAAAAAAGGCTTAAAAAAAAAACCCCAATGTGCATATTTTCTGTTCTGGAAGAGGAGAAGGAGAGCTGCAGCCAGCTGGAATACCCCGGGGATGGGCCATTTGCAGTTTGAAGGCAGGAGTTAATTGTTAATTGCTAAACATTTGTGGTCATGGGAGGGAGAAACGTGAAGCCACCAGGAGAAATGGGAAATGCTGCTTTCCTGAGGACAGGGGTTTGGGAGAGGATTGAACAGCCTGTACAAGCCACAGAATTGCATAAGTTAAACATCCTCAAGAACAACAAGCACTGGAGGGCAGGTGAGGGGCTGTGCTGGAACCAGGGTCACCCAGCAGGGTGGAGACAGGAACACACCCATTCCCACTGGGATTTAGAGCCAGCTGTGACAAGCTATGGCACTGCAACAGGGCTTCCCAACAAGAAACCTGCACCAGATTTTCTGAGAGTTCTTTCAAACTTCCTCAGTCTTTTCTTTCTAGTTATCCTGGAGATGATAATCTCCACACATGTGATGGGGAATTGCTTGTTTCAGTCTTGGAAAGACAAGCAATTCCCCCTGTTAAGCAAGGCCTAGGGAGGTAAAACAATCAGAAGCATTTTTAGGGGGTGTTGTGATTCCCAGATTACCAACAAAGGACAAGGAACACTTACAAGGCAATGTCTGGGTTGGTGGGATGGTTTTTCTTCTCACCTGTTCATCCCCTTGAGGCCTCAGAACACCTGGATTGGTTCCTTAAGTGCTGCTTCCCTTGGTTAACCCTTCCCAATCAGTGCTGTTCCCGTGGATCAGCACAGATTCTAAATGCACCAGTTGGCTTGGAATTGACTGAAATGTGGAATAGCTCCTGGTTCAGAACGAGGGCACTTTTGGTTTATGCAACAGCTCCAAGAAACGCTGGAACTTCCCCTTCCTACAGCGGGAGACGTTCCTCGACAGGGCCCTGCTCTGCTGCCCCGGGAGCTGGGGCTGGGAGGCACAACTGCTGATGTGCACCCAGCTCTCTCCTCCTGCAGGGCAGACAGAGGAGAGGAAATCACCCCAAAAGGCAGCAGTGCTGTTTTAGTGTTCTCCAAACCCACCACAGTGCAGGCTGGGGAGGCTGACAATGCTGCAGAGAGAGGGCTTTGTCTGCTTTTCTTTAGAAAAATGACAGACTTGACATTTCCAGTATGTCTTAGCTTTGTGCTGCTTCTCAAGTCTGAGTCACCAAAAATATCCAGCAACCAGCTGCTGCTCAGCTCTTAAAATATGCCTTCAGCTGACACTGAATATGGAAATCGTTCTGCTAAAATACAGAAAAACCACCATGGCAGAAATCAAGGTACAGCCTCAGGCCAACATTGAATGGTCACAATCCTACAATGCTACTTTCAGATCTCTTCTTCCATCCCTGGCCAAACAAGCAGCCGGGTTTCAAGTCGAGGTAAGGCGGATTTTGGAAGATAGCACGTGAAAGAAGCCCAGGAAGGAAACTGGAACAAAGCTCTTCTGGTGATGGCAGTCAGCACTAATCCTCCAAAAAGGGCAGGGAGAGACCCTCCTCCTCCTGCTGGCTCTGTCCTGGTCCTACAGCAACAGCGAGGAACTGCTCCTGCCCTCCCAAATCTGTTCCATTTGGACATATCTTGATCCCTTTGTTTCTCGGACACGGGGTCCTTCCCTCAGTCCCGGGACTGGTAGAAGAGGATGTATCCACTCTCTGAGTTCTTGGAAATGTCTGATGTCAACCCATAGAATTCTTCAATGGCCTGGGCATCAATTTTCTGAAAATTAACAAGAGTTATAATTAGCTTCAGTCAAACCCTCCCCCTCAGAGGCCCTTTCCCAGACAAGGTGTCACTGCCAGTTCTTGGAGGTGATGCTGGAAAGCTGAGCAGCATTGACACAACAACACTGAACCAACCAAACATCTTCTCCACTTCAGAACTCATTGACTGCTGAAAAAACCAGGATGGAATAACAGAGCTCAGAGAATGGGGGCACTCTTAAGCTGGGCTACAAAACAAGGGGTCCAGGAAAACGTATCCTTAAAACACCACGTGACATCTTTATATTTGTTTTCTCCTTCAGACTGGTCTCACCTTTCCTGAGTCTTTTGCAATGTAAATGAAAAAAAAATAGCAGTTACAGAGCAGCAAAGAAGATTTTTGCACAGTAGATGCTGAATAGATTTAACATTCAGCTAAAATAACTCCAGATTTTAAAGTTATTGTCACCCTCTTCAGTAAAGAAGTCCTGCAAGTGCTACTGGTAATTGCACCCTGAAGTCTGGGGATCTCAACTAATTACGATCTTCTGGCCATAAGAGAGTTTTCCTTCCTTCAGATCTGCTGGCACAGAGCCTGCAGGAAGATTATCACAAGGTCTGTGTTTAAAGAAGAATTAATTATTTGCTGTATTAATATAATTAAATGGCCAGCTTGTATTTAAAGCTGTGAACTACGAGCAGAAAAGTGGCTTTCCTTTCCAACCAGCCAGGCCTGTAGGGCATTTGAAAGGGTTTTTGAAGATGCAAGTTCCACATGTCTGGATCCTGTGCCTGAGAACAACTGGCTTCAGATTACTGAGTTGGATTCTGCAGTCAGGGAGAGAAAAACACTGAAATAAAACCCTCTCAGGGGCCTGTGCTGCTCAGCACTGCGCTGGGGGGAGGATTTTAAAATACCTGGAAGAAAAAAGGTCCTAAAATACCTTTAGGACTCTGGATCCACAGAGATGAGAGGCCTGAATTTGTTGTGGAGGCCTAAAGTTCCCCTCTACATATTATATTTCCCTAGACATATTATATTTGTATATTATGTTACATTTACATATTATATTTATATAAAGTTGGGGAAGCAAAGGAATGCTCCAAACACAAGAAGCTCTGGGTTGAACAGCTGCTCTGACTGGGAGAGGGAGAAGACCAACCTGTGCTTCCACCTTAAAACAAAGGGGCTCTGCTCTGCCTCCCCCAGGAGCCTCCTCAGCTGAAGAATGTCTTCCCCAACCTTCCCCAGCTTTTCCCATCTTTTCTCATCCCTTACAAGCCTTCCCAGCCTTCCCCAACCTTTCCCATCCTTCCCCAACCTTTCCCATCCTTTCCTAGCTTTCCCCATCCTTTCCCAGCCTTTCCCAAGCACAAGAAGAACAGATGAGATCTCAGCAGCTGCAGAAATTCTCTCTTCGAGTGTTTTGTTAAACATCTTGTGTTTAAAAAAGAGAGAGAAGGGGGAAAGAAACCCCGAGAGATGTTTTGTGTTTTCCCCTCCTCCACTGGGGGGGTGCAGAGCAGCCCAACATCCCACAGAGGGTGGTGCATTTTCACCTCATTTATTGAGATAAGGTTCCTACAGACTGTCAGAGGCTCATTTAGCAGGGACACAGCCCAAGAACACCCCTCAGTCCTTGCAGTCTCCTCAGCAGACAACTCAGACACCAGCAACTCATGTTGTGAGTGCCAACCAGCTCGCTGTGCAATCAAGTCCCATTTCCACCACTCACCATCCCGAATGCAAACACTCGATCTGGATTAATTCAGCCCACAGACATATTTAGTTTGATCACAGCAAAACTGGCTTCCTTCTTTCATTTCACTGTCCACAGAGAGCACAGTGGAACTGCATGAGGATTATTTAGACCCTTCTTCCCTTCCTCAGCTGAGCACAGAGTGTGGACAGCAGTGTCACCCACTTGCAGCTCAGTGGATGGTTCCACACCTGCTCTGAGGGTTCTGCAGCCTCACCTGGCACTGGAAATGCTGGTTCCCATGAACTGAGCTGAACCATCCTTTGCTCGCTTGCAGACATCTCTCCTGGCTCTCCAAACCAAACGCTGTTCAGCTGCTTCCTGCAAACCAGCAAGGACACCCAACCCTCCCCTGCACGTGCCCAGCTCCCTGGATGGGTGCCCTTCCCTCCCTGTCTCAGGTAAATATTGTCCCTGTGATGCCTCACTTCAATGCTCTAACAACAACAACACGTCCAATCAGCCAGAGATCAGAGACTGGGCAGAGAAACTCGGGTTTCTCAGCTCATTCTGCTTGGCACAGGATCCCACTTGGACTGATTTGCCTCCTGGATCTGCTGCTTTTCCACATACGCTGCAGAATGTTTGATTATCATCTCTCTGCCATTTAACTGCAAGTTGGCCTTCCAATGAGATCCTAACAGACAAATAAATATGCCCTCCCCACTGCTGACATTTAGTGGGTAATCAGGATGAACTGCTTCCTATTGGCAGAGCAGAACTATTCATCCCTGTCACTTGCCAAAAATGCAATGAAGATTTTTAACTGTATTTAAGGGGGCAAACCTTCCTGCTGTGCTCTCTTTCAGCTGCAATGTCTGTACTCAGGATTTCTGAGTTTTCTAGGGGGCCATACCTAGAACGTGAAGTCTCCAAAGAGCTTTATTTTTACAGCATTTTAGATGAAACTCTACAAAAGATGAGCTTGAAGAAAAGAAACATAAAGGGGGGAAAAAAAAGCAGGTTTTTTTCCATGAGGGAGGAACTACATTCCAGCTTGTGACAGCTCCTTGGATTTGCTGCCCAATGACAGCACAGATTTCACAGCCATGTGTTGGCACATCCCTAAAAGTGCCAATGGTGTTTGCAGATCAGCAGAAATCCTGGTTTGCCCTAAAAGCTGAGATACAACACAGAAGTGACTGATAAAAAACAATTAAGGAATAACAAGATGGTTGGTTTATATCTGCTTTTTAAATGCAAAGTTCACCTCCTGGCTGGAAAAGATTTAAAAATATTGAAGTGAGCGCTATTTCCAAAATGAGGTGACGCAATTCTGTCCTTGGCCCACGACAGAAACAGAGGAAAATAACCCCCAAAATATGAAAGTGGGAGACAGGCAACTGTTGATGGTCACACAGTCAGCCCAAACCACTGGGAAGTCACCCCTGATGCTCAAAGCTGAGCAAGGATTTCAAAAAATAAACAATTTCAACACAGGCAAGGCTTTTCCTGCACCTATTTAACACCTCCCATCAAGCCTCAAACCTTGACCACGAGGTCTCAGAGGCAAACAAGACATTTCCATCTTTCCAAAAAAGCAGCTCTACTCTGGCATTTGTTCTACTGCCTGGTATTTGCTTAGCAATTCTGTGAAATATGTCGATATATAAATCCTGTGATGGCAGCCTTTACAGGTGTGTTAGCAGAAAAGTTAAAGAAAAATTTGGTGGAGCCCAAACATTTGTTGTTTTGGTTTTTTACAGTTTTTCTACACTTCAATTTGTTGGGGAAAACTGCCTAGGAAAAAAAAAATGTGAGCAGCTCTTAAATGCAGGAGTGAAATGCAAATCAGAGACAAAAGGCCAGGCTGAAATCAGAGCATTTCAGAGCCCTGGCACAGCACCCACCTCCACAATGTCATCATCAAAGAGCAGCCAGAAGCCATGGCTCTTCACAATGGTGATGTAATGTCCACGATTCGGGCCACTGCCAGGGAAAAAAGGGGGGAAAACTTGTCATTCCCAAGCCTCCAAAGGCAGGATTGCTGTCCTCCCCCAGGATCCCAGCACTGCTGCCACAGCTGCACTTCCCAGCTTGGCTGGTACCACCCAGAGCACTGCTCAGGTTCTCAAGATTTTGGCCAAATTGCTTGAATTCAAATTTCTGACTTTGCTGCTTACAAATCAAATGTCATCAGAATCCACAGTTTCAGGTGTTTAAAGAAAACTCACAATTTAAGCCATTATTCCACTCCCTGCTTTGCTGCACTCACCACCCTGAGTCTGGTGACCCCTGCTCAAGAATCTTAACTGTGGAATTAAATCAGGTCTGAGATGTTTTATCTGCAGGGGGGGTGAGCACAGATGGCTTTGTGTGACTGCTGTTCCCACTCTTCTGGTGGCAGTTTCCCAGTCCAATCCCACTGCCCATATCCTGAATTCTCACCTTAAAGGGAAGGGTCAACACACTGACTTAATTCCAAGAGTGAAGGCAGGCAGACTGCCCTGGGAAGGGAGGGGTCTGAGATAACAAACTATATGGATGGAAAACTACCCTTTACTGACCTCAAATCCTGAGAAAACAGCCCAGGGATACAGTGGAAAACCAATATATTCCCTCTCTCCAGGTTTGCTTTTTCCCTAGGGACTACATAAGGCTTTAAAACAACCAATATTTGTACCAGCTTCAGGTAAGAAAAAGTACTTTTCCAGTTCTTGCAGAATTATTGATAAACAAATTATCCAACACAGAATTAAACTTTTCGGTTTCGAGGAACCAAATGAAAGGCAAAACTGTAAGGGTTGAAATATTTAAAACAACTTCTGAGAACTCAGTTATTCAGAAAAATCTCATTTATCCTAAGCCTTTGGCAAGTTCCCAGTAAGAACTGAAACCAGAAGAGTCACAGGACTCCTGAAAACCCAGTGTGGGATAACAGGTTTGAGAAAAGAAAACAAAGTCATTGAATTCATCTGAATTATTGATCACCATTATCAAAGTACATATGTTAGGTACAGGTGCAGCAAATGAAGAACTATTGAAGGAAATACACAGGATGAGATCTTAAAATGATAAAAATTAAATAAAACTTCTGTACCACAACAGAAATCCCTTAGAATGATCTCCTTTATATTATATTTAGTCACTAAATATTTAGCTCTACTAAATCCATGCAAGGTTAGTATTGATTATATTTGCTCCTCACAAAGATGCTTCAAAGCATTTGTGTGCTCCGCTGTTACTTCAAAACTCACCCTTCCAGAAGGCAGTTACAAGCAATTCTTTTGCTTTTCAGAAGTGCTTTTCCCCCTAAAGTGCTGACAAATTTTTTCCTCTTTGCTTTCAAAACCAGAGGAAAAGCCACTGCAGCACAAATCTGATGCAGGAAACAAGGCTGTTTCAAAAGCTCAGCAGTGCACAGTTTATTCCACATGATGGCACCAGCTTCTAAAGGAACTTCAGTGAGAAATGCACCTCACTTCTCTTTCAGTGAGTGTTTTTCCAAGATTTGTTTGGATCCCCTTTGGCTTTCCTGGAAAGCAGGCTTGGGGTTTTGTGTCGGTTCTGTGGTTTTAAAGAGTGAACTAAAGCAAAGCAACAACCAAGAGCACCACTTGGGGATAATTTGTTTACCAATAACCCCTGCTCTGAATTGCCACCTTATTTAAAGCTGACAAAGTGCCAAACCTGAGACTTGGGGAAGGAAAATCTCAACCAGCAGAAAAGGAGCGACAAAGCTATTTCCAGGCCCCACCTCGCCTGTTGCTGCGGCAGTGACGATCCAGGGTGGGGGGACGGACTCTTTGCAATTCCAAGGCCAGGCATTCCAGGGAGCAGGAAGCACCAACCCACCTGCCACAGTGCACCACCACGGCCACCAGGTCGTACATCCTGTCGGGGTTGGTGGCGTCGCCCGAGGTGTTGAAGAGGCGCAGCTCGAGCGGGAACACCACGCGGTAGGACAGCTTGGTGTAGCGGTGCAGCTGGTCCATGTACTTGAACCTCTTCAGGTGCAGGGCCAGGATCATGGGCAGCTTCTTCACCCTCATCCTGCAGCACCACAGCGTGGCCAGCAGAGCACACAGGGGGTTAGGAGGGACATGGGCTCCTCAAAAAAGATCTCGGCTCAGGTTTTTAACAAACACGCTGCTTTTCCTCACCGTGTCCCACGGTATTTACTCTGAGTTATTAACTACTGACATCTGAATGCAGGACAGCTGCAACAAACCCACCCCCTCCATGCCCTGGAGACCCCCAAACCCCTCTGAGACCCCCCCCAAAACATCAGTTTTTCATCACATCAGTGGGGAGAAGGAGATGCAATAAATCTGTCTTGCTGCTCTGGTGTGACAGAGTGTGAGGTGAGAAATGAGGTTTTTTTGCTATCCAGCGCTCACAAAGAGGATGGGATGGTTTGCAGGGGCTCTGAGATGATTAATCCCAACTGGGGAAAATGTAAGTGTCTGGAAGCACCAGATATAAACTCTTCTGGGAGAAACACAAATTAATCTCTTTATTCCTCTGACGAGGTCGCCACAAAGTTCCTGGTCTCTCCTCTTTTCCTTGCTCCCTTCCCCACCAAACACAGTCCTAAACAACATTACCTGGTCCTTTTCCTGACTTCACAAGGTGCATTTTTCCACCATTTTAAGAGAACATCTCCATTTAGGGTGGGTGTTTGCCCCCTCCTTACCTCTTCTGAGCCTCCTGCTTGCTGCGGCACTGCTCACAGTAGTACTTGTATTCACTGCAGAGAGTCTCAGTGTTACTAAATCCCCTGTGGACAGGAGAGAGGAGTGCCATGAGCAGGGATACTCCAGGCCATCCAGCTAAAAGTTACTGCTGATAATGGAAATCATCCCCCCCCCGGGTATGAACTGCCTATTTTCTGGGTAGGGAAGGCAAGAAACAGCACTGAGGTGATTGAGTTTTGTGGCCATCAGTAGCCACTCCATGTGATCTCTGGTGGCAGAAATGAACTGTTCAGATCTACAGCCATTAACCAGCCCGAGCCTGGATTATCTTCCAGCTCCCAGCAGTTCCACAGCCATTATCAGCTATTAAATAGCAGATGCTGGGTGCTGTATCCCAGCAGCTGATAAGCCTTGGATGGAACAGACAAACACATGGAGCAAATGTCTGTCAGCAGAAACAAACCTCCCCTCCTCAAACACGAGGAGCAGGCAGCTGAAAGGCAGTAACAATATTAAAACAATCCAGAATTCACGAGGAAACCAAACACAGCGTGTTTAGCTTTGATAAAACCTGGCTGGGCGAGGCACAAAACGAAGTGGAAATCAATCTTACACACCACTAGTGCTCCTGAACTACTAAAACCCACTAAAACCCCCCAACATTTTACCACACAGAGCAGCCAAACCAGGCTCTTCCCTCCTGACCAAGGGCAGGAATTCTCCCCGTTCCCAAATAATCCCGTTTACCTCAGGCAGTGTGTAATGGATGTATTTTGTTCCACATCAACCGAGAGATCCAGAAAGTCCTCGTCTTTGCTACTAACCTTAAAAAACAAACAAACAAACAAAAAAACAGAAGAAGAGGCATTTGACAGCAGTTGAGAACTGGCAGGTTTCTTTAAACCATCTCTGGGATGATGCAATGTCCCCTCAGTGATGGAAAATAAATGTACACACACACACAGAGGTCCTTTCCTGAGGTAAACTAAAACTGCAGAAATAATCTGATGAGGAATATTTAAAAAAAAAAAAAAACAAATCAACAACAAACCAAACCCCAAAACCCACGGGAAAAAGGCAGAAAAAAAAACAAAGCCCAAAAACCTTTCTTAGAAAACACCTCTCCCCCTTGAGGCCTCAAGACACATCTGATTATTTCACTGGCTAACCCAAGGTGTTAACTGCTCAGAGAAGCCTTCCCCACCTTCCACTCTGCTCTGCAGACTGGGACAGCTCTTTGCTGCTCTTCAGAGTGGAACAGTCAATACTGAGAGGGAGGGCAGACACAGGCAGATGGCTCCTCAATTAAATGGGTTAGCAGGGAGGAAAACCATCTTCCCATTTGTGGAACAGTCACATTTCATTTCAAAATCCCTGAGACAGAACCCTATTAATGTCATTTTTAGAGCTTCTCTTTACCACAGAGCCATAACTCTAGATTTAAAATGCCTTTTTGTTGTAATCACTTCTCCTTTTTTTTTTTTTTTTCTTCTCTCCCCATCTGGGTTTTTTCATTTTCTTAGAACTTTTAAATCAGAGCATATGACTAACTCCAAATTCCTGATCCGAAGGTGGTGTGGTTCTAATTCTAGATTTCATGGCACTCCTTTTGCTCTCAAACAGAGTGGCCACAGACTAGCACCAAGAATTCCAACAGCAACTCAGCTCATCCCAGAGTCAAATAACGAGGGAGCAACTCTCATGGAGAAACACAACATAAAACTATCAACCACTGACACAGGGAAGAACAAGGAGACAAAAAGGCAGCTTGGATGAGCCAGGTGGAGGCTGCCTGGCTGGGAACAGGGAGGAGAACAGGGGAAACACTAGGCTTTGCTGAGCCACATACCTGCAGGAGTATTGAACACAGAGGTGACACACTCCTAACATAGGCTATGCTCCATATTTTAATAGACAGAGTGCAATTTCATCTACCCTAATAAATGAAAAAGGGTGCTTAGTGTTAGGGAAAAGGATCCAGAAGCTGGGAAGCTCTAAGAGGTCTGGGGTGGAACGTACAGCCTCACAGTTAAGACATCTGGTTTCATTGGTTAGTGTTCCTTGGAAGATTTCATGGACCCACGTCAGGTCAGCCTTGTCTCCTTCCTCACTCTCAATGCTGCCGTTCTGCAGCTTCCCATTCTGCTTCTCCTGCTTCTTCTCCTCCTGGAGCAAGTCGGCAATAGTGTTGAGTAGGTAGTTCAGGAACTCATGTGCATCCTGCTGCATGTAGTTGTCAAATAATTCTGGAAAGGGAGAGATCAAGGAGAATGAAAAGGTACAGCCACTCCATAATGCCAAGGCCAAATCAGGGCATGCCCTGCCCCTGCTGCCCCCTGGCACACAACGGGGGGGTTACTGAGAAGCTTTGCAAGAGCTGCACTCGGTTGTTCTCACAGAGGGTTTTTTGGTTTATCCTCAGGTTGCAACAAACAAACAGCTGAAAAACAGCATTAAGGAAACTTAGCTTGGACATTTCTCAGAACTGAGAAAATCATGAGCTTGGAGTTTGGGGCGGGGGGGATTGTAGGTTTTTTCCTTTCCTTCAGGGAGGGAGAGAACTGAAGAAATTCAGATGTGCTGCCCCTGGGCCAACAGTTCATTCGGGCCACCATCAAGGGGCAAAAATCCCCCACTGTAAGTTTGTTATCTTTGCAAGTTCAAGCAGAGATGATAAATCAACATCCAGAACTTTTCCTCACCCAGCACCCCTGGGAAACAACCACTAGTTCTCATCCTAAGGGATTTATCCTGCCCCACGTGGAAGAGCAGCTTACAAGGGGCTGAGTCTCCCCAGAGCTCAGCCTGGGCCAAGCCCACACCTCCAGCTGAGCCCAGGCCAGGCTGGGGCCGTGCCTGGGGTGTGCTGACTGCAAGGTACATTTTACACACCTCAAAAAAAAAACCCCAAAAACATTTATTTATTCATTTACCATTTTCTTTCCTCAGCCGGGAAATGAATTTCTTGGGTGGGATGACCCCCACCTTCTTCTTTTGGGTGGCAATGCTGTTGAAGAGGTCAGAGAGGCAGGTCAGGAGGCTCTCCTTCTTCCGAGGCTGCACCTTGTACGCCAACACCTTCTCCCGGAACGGGCGGCAGAAATAAAGCGCCTGCAGGACCGAGTTGCAGTAGCAGGTGTTGCCAAACTGCTCAAAAGAGAACAGAGCAGAATAAATGGATTTGTAGCAGGTCTGTTAAAAAGGAATAACAGAGGTGGTTCATTAGGAGCAGCACAGAGTGAGGCTGGAAAAGTTGTTTGTCAGAGTTCATTTGCTGGGGAAGTACAAGCTGGGATGGTGAGGAAGCCTGAGCCTTCCATCAGCTGGGAAGAGAAGACAACATTCCCAGGGATATTGGGAATACACACAAAAGGTGATTAAGGGCTCATCCCAAACTCCAAAGCTCTGGACACAGCACTGCTCATCCTGAGAGGGGAGCTGCTGCTGTGGGGGTGTGCCAGGACCCAAAACGAAATAAATAAATAATACTCTGTATTATTGGCTCCCAATACAATAAATAAGTGTTCCCTGCCTGTAATGGGTGTTGTGAGCAGAACCATCTCAATAACTACTCTGCTGACTGCAGCAGTGTAACCCCTGCAGCTGGGAAGGTTACAGGTTATGGTTACAGTCACATTAACACATGGAGCAACAGTTAAAACTTACTGACAGGAGGAAAATAAATATGCAAGCTGAGCAAACAGGGGGATCAGGATAGAGCCTCGCTCACATGGCTGTCAGTGACCCAGAAAAACAGATAAGTGTCACACTAATTACATCTGCTAAATAAATTTGCATACAGCACAAAATAGGCAAGAATACCAAGCCAGGCAAAACTACTACAAGTCTGATTAAATATTTTTGTTTTCAGGTGAGGTATCTGCTGTATCTGTCCACAATCACCTCAGAAAATTAAGAGACAGAACTAGAAATGAGCATCTTAAAAAAGATGGTGCATCTTCAGTCAGAAAAGTTTACAGTGCCAGGAGCTGAAAAGATTTCAGGGCTGTATTCATGGAGAAATCATGTCCAAAAGTGTGAATTCAACTGGTTGTACACGTCCTGCTTTGGTGCTGCCCACACAGGAGAGGAATGGTTAGAACAAACTAAAGGGGAGGGTTAAAGGGGTTCAAGAAGCAAAATTCCATCCAAACAGCTTTGAAAATTCCTGCCAGTGAGATGTTTTACAGTAGTCCAAGTGAGATGGTGAAAAATTCACTTCACAGCATGATTTAGGCTTTAAAATGTCCTTCTGAGGAGGATTTTCTCCCTCCTACCACCTTTACAGGGAGTAATGGGGAAGAACTTTTATTCCTCGAGCTTTTCAGATATTTTACAACTTGCCAAGCACTTTCCAACAAGACCAAGGGATGCATTTTATTCCAGCAAATCTGATTTTTCTTCATGTTGGAACAAAATCCTTGGAACTCTGAGCAATTCAGGGCCTTGGGAAACTTCTGAATATCTCAATTATTGATCTCCCCCTCTCTCTATCAGAGAGTCCTCCAGAAATTATCACTATGGCCAGCAGTGTCACACTTAAACCACAGCTAGTTTGTGTTTAGGAGTCCAAAGCAATCAGATCTTCCCAACCATGAGCTGAACTTTGCTAGAAATTCTGCCTGGAACAAAAAAAGAAAAGAAAAAAAGAAAAAAAAAGAAGAAGAAAAAAAAAGAGTTTGAACAGTTTGTCTTTAACAGAGCCCCCCCCAAAAAACAGGTTTTCAAAGGCAGTTCCAAGTGGGGTGATGGATATTTCCAAACATGGGGGCACATGCACAGATCACACACATTAACAGTGTGTAAAGTCTGATGTTACCTAAAACACAAATGGAAAAAAAAAAAAAAAAGGAACAAACACTAAGATTTTAACAGCTTTTTGCCATGGTTTCTCTGGTACAAATAAATGCTGTAAACAGATGCCAAAGCAGGGGGGGGGTTGCTTTAAACTGCCTGTATTTAGAGTCAGTATTACCCAACTTCCCAAGAACTTGTGCACTGTAAAAATAAAGTCTGGAAGCTTATTTTAAGATAGAGGGTTCTTAAAATGAAACAGAGATGAAATCCTGGAATGACAACATTGTTGCCCTCCTCTTCACAGAAATGATTCCAAGAGGCTGTCCCTTCTCCCAGATCCCCGGCAGTGGCTTTAGCCACAGTTTAACTGCAGCCAGGCTGGTTCAGCTCACCGGCCCCAAAGGAAAATAACTCTTCAAACCAAACTGTGAAGCCTCCCCTGTCCCTGAGTCCCTCACCTGGCTCTGTCTGCAGTTCAAGGGCACTGATGCTCAAGCCACGAGACTCTTTCAAATGCCCCAATTAGCTCAGAGTGGTGAAAGAGCTGGAAATAGCTCAGGAAAAAGCTGAGCAGAACAATGGCACGGCAGTGCTCCCCCCACAGAAGCCGGTGCAGGGCAGGCAGCTCCACAGGATCAGTCACGTTCTGTCCTTCCCACCACAGAATGGACCTGGTTCCAATAATGGGGGGTATTTTTAGGGTGCTATTTTTCCTCCTCACACCATTCAACACTCTGCTATTTATGTGACAATGGGCCGTGCCTTCCATTCTTCTCCTCCTGGAGCAAACCTCAGCAGCTCTGCAATGGCCATTCACAGCATCCCTGAGGAACAGAATTCCATGTGTTTGGATATCTGTGTGTCTGCAAACACACCGCAAGCCAGTTAAATGTGTTTCTAATGAGCTGCAATTAATACTTGGGAGCTACACTGACCTAATTTGGGGTGTGAAGAGACTGAGCATCTTTCAGCTTCCAACAGAACACACCCGGCCCTGCAGCAAACAGGAATATCCCTGTTTCTGGAGGGCTGTGCCAAACTGGGATTGTCCCACCATAAATACATGGCACAGAACCACCGTTTCTATCAGCTAACTCCCCTTATTCCCTGGGAAAAGGTGTCCCAGGCCCAGCAGGAGGAGCTGCTCTGGATCCACATCCATCCTCTCCCCAGCCAGTTTGGGCACACGAGTCCTGCTGCCCAGCAGATCCACACGAACTGACAGAGGCACAGCTTTTTGGAGGGGTTCACAGGTCCCCAGGCTGGGAGAGAACCAAAAAGGAGAATCACCACCCCCAGGGAATTACTCTGGTGCTCCTGCACCAGAGAGATCCCGCTGCTCCACTGGGAATGTGCTTCCCATTTCACACCTGCCACTCACTGCAGCAGCAGGGACACCAAACCCTCCAGGTGAACAATGGACACCTCACCAGTTCACACCTCCCACCTAAAGAGGGAAAGTCTTGTCATCAGAAATGTCCCAGAGCAGGAGGGATTCCCCCAAAGGCTTTATATAGTACATATTCTGTACTTCTGTACTGTTAAATTCCAAATCAGGAATGGATTAAAAAAAGAGCTTTTCCAACCATAGGAATTGCACTTACATTGACCAAGCCAAAATAATGCTCGTTCACAGGGAACTGCTCAGGACCAATCTCTTTCTCCAAAGCAGAGGCATTGGCGCCCTACAAAAAAAAACAGCATGTTTGTGTTAGAGAAAAATCAAACTTCCTTAAAAAAAAACCCCAACAGAATTCAGGTCACTGCTACAAACACAGAGTTACTCCCTTTGAGAATCAGCACCCCGTGTCTGCTGTGTTCCTCAAAATGAGATCAATGTGATGCTTTATTGTCATAAGGGTACCAAGGTCTCATTTAAAAACTCAGCTCCAAAGCCAGAACTGGTTACCTGAGGTAACAAAGAGTTTTCTGCACGTGAATTTATTGGAAAATCAACCCAAGAAGTTGTTCTCACTTAAAGCATCGGGTGAGCCAGAAACACCAACTCCAGTTTAGCCAAGAATGCACTGTAAGAGTAAAGACAACTGTAACACAGAGAACTTCCAAAGCTAAAGGACAGAAACCAGAGGGGCTATTTTAGGGTATAAAAACACCTATGTGATGGGAAATGCACAAAGGGGTTGAGGTGGCTCTTTATTATTTGCATCCCATGCAAAAGAATTCTTGAAAAAGTCTTGCCTTCGTTGACACTTGAGATCAGAAATACTGTCACTTTCTCAATTTCTGGCCAAGAGAAGCACAATTACAGAACCAAAAAAGAAATAGGGAAATAAGAATTTTATTAATCAGACACACATAAACTCAGATCACCTAAAAAGTGCTGCGCTTTTGCTTAATTTCAGGCTGTAAATTAAGTTTACAGTGCATTTTGACACACCCTGAGTTTCCTGCAATGCAATGAGGACAGAAGTTGTCATTTCAGATGCAACTGAAAAATCCCACTGCACACCCATGTGGGTTTACTTGGCAGAGAAAAGCACCACTGAAACACACCAACATCCTATTTGGAATTGGAATTTTTTACAGTCAGAGTAGTTTATGCATCTCTCTCCATTTTCCATCCACCAATACCTCATTGCCAGGCTCCTACTTGGGATTTGGTCGCTTCCCTCATTCTCTCCAGCTTGTTCTTTAATTCTTGCTGATCCTCCAGCAGCCCTGAGCTGTTATTTATGGAGTTGCCACCATTCCATGCAGAATCCAAACACTTTGCGCTCCTAATTCTGTTTTAAACACCCAAGTCACCCCAGCTATAACCTTCTGCAAACACAAACCCTTCTTAAAACACCTCAGAAAAGCAATGAAGCAAAAAACTACAGTCCAGCAAAAGTCAATTCATCTATTCCCCTGAAGCTACTAATGCCTTTTAATTGCTGAGCAAATATTTCAATCATCTCCCCATTAACATAAACCACAGACAAGTGGAGGCTGTAGAGACACTTCCATCTGGATTGAGAAACAACTTCAAATTTTCTGAGAGACGGGAAAGAAACCAAAAAATAATCCAGTTGAAGAGGAGGAACGGAAAATGGAGTTTTACAGTGAATTACACACACCAAACCAGCCAGAAAACAAGACAGGCTCAAATTTGGGACAGTAAAACCCCCCAACCCCTCACCAGGTGCTGACAGATTTACAAGCACAGCTCTGCAGAAGCAGCAATTACACCCAGTTTCTGGAGGCAGCAGTGCCAGCTCGAGCAGCTCCTCTGATTTGTTTCCCTCCATCCACTCCCTCCTTCCAAGGAGCTCTTTTTCCCTCCACTGATTCCGCCCCCCAAAACCCCAACCCAACCCTGGATATGGGGATGAGATGGGGCTCTGGAATTGCTCCTGCAGCTCCTCACTGACCTTGGGGAAGAGCAGATCACAACCAGAATTCCACTGAGTGCACAGAAGAGTTGACATTTCCAATAAACCTGTGCTGTAAAGAACAACCCACCACAAACCAGTGCTGCGATCCCACCAAGCCACCAACATGGCCCAACCCATCACACCCACCAGGTGACAGGTGGGTGTTTTCCAAGAGTTTCCTTGTATTAGCTGCCCAAACTTTATAAATTTGGGTGAGTCAACTGTAGGGGCAGGTAAAAAAAATTAAGGTTTCCTTTAATAAATCAAATTCTAATTAATGTGTTAATTACAACTGAAGTTGTAGATGCCCCATCCCTGGAAGTGTCCAAGGCCAGGCTGGAATAGTGGGAGGTGTTTTATGCCCATTTTCCACCCCAGCTAAAAGGGTTTTTTCCACCTGCCTCAAAGCACAGGAATATTTTCTCCTATGAAACAACCCACACTTCACAACTGTAGAAACAGAAAAGACCCACTGTTATCTAGAAATTAAATCTCAGCAAAGTGGCAGGTGTCCACAGGATGAACATTTACTATTTGGGGAGTCAAGGGAAATGCATCTCTTCTGGGTGCCACGGACAAACTTCTGCACCTTATGTTCCTCTGCACATCTAATTACACAGCGGGTTGGAAATCACACAGGAGAATCCACGTCACAGCAGGTTGCCAGGGGGTTTGTAACCTCTCCATAACCATTCACGAGCAGCTCAACACAATGAGGCAAAATCCTGAAGGTTCCCCTGGTTGCATCGAAGGACATGGAAATTCAGCAGCACCTAAACAGCACTTGTCAAGCTACCAGAGCTTTTGAAATGCTCACAGGGGTGAAGCAGTTGTTTAAATGTAAGAAAAGGAAGACCCTCTCACCTCTTCAAAAAATACAACTACAGTTAGTGTGATCTTTTCTCAGTACTAATGGCCCTGATAAAATCTACAGAGAGTCAAAAGGAGTTTGCTGCACTTATTTTGGGGCACTCCAGCATTTTAGATGCTCCATTTACAGTTCATTTGTAGACAGTGGGAGACTTGCAGAAGAGAACTCTTAAAATCTGGATGTATCTCCCAAAAATTCTGGGTACCTCTAACCTCAGATTGGGGCTGGAGGCACACGGTACCTGTGGAGCATCACTGGTGTTGAAATAAAAATCCCTTAGGATGGCTTGGACTCTGCTCCACCCTAACTCAGCTTCTGGGCTGGGACAGCTTCTTCCCACTGAGCACCCGCCTGCAAAAGGCATTTCCTTTCAAGAAAGGCAAAAAAGAGAAAAATATCTACGATATTTCAGCGTACACAAGTCTTGCTGAGGTCTCTAATTAGTCATTTGACTCTCTTAACAGCTGAGAGCAGGATCAGACTCAGCATTTTAAAAAGCTGGGCAGCAGCTTCCAGGATGTGCAGAAAGGCTGACAGAGTGAATAAACCAACCAAAGAGGGACAAGGCAGATACTGCAAACCCTTCAGGGCAGTACCAATGTCAGACTTGCCAAAACTCCAGGATTCCCAGTGCCACTGAACCTTCCTGACCTGCACAACCACAGGGAACTTCCCATTGTCCACAGGCAGGGAAGCTCACAGAGCACACTGTGGCTGCTGCCGTGGCATGCAGATCATGGGGAAACTGGAAAGTGCTGTATTTCCCAATCAGTTCACTGCTCTGAAGCCTCAGTTGGGGTGGTTTTAAACAAATGAGAGCAGGGTGCTTTGGAACCTGCTCCACGCACATGTTTATTCCAGGAGGAGCTGGTCCTGCAAGGTCCACAGGATCCACAGCTCCCAAAGGCACAGCCACTCACGGGCACTTGGGAAATCCTCTCATTCCATGCTCCTCAATGAGACAGTCCAGCTGGGCTCCAGTGAAGAGGATGCTGGAGGAAAGGTACAAGTACAGGAACTGCTGCTTAGTCCACACTGTGGTACTGTAAGCAGCCCATTCCCCCTCCTTGGGCACTGCATCCCAGAATTCCCAGGAGCCCATCCACCTGAGAGCAGTCCTGTCAGATCCCTCCTGACCTTGGGCTCCTCCCACTGCCCCAGTGACACACACAGTGGGTGTCCTGCTATTGCAGCCCTCAGATGATTTGCAGCTTTTCAGGCCCCTAAAAGAACAAACCCACAGAGATCCCCAGCACTGTTCTTCTGGGAGCTGGCAAGATTTTATCCTGACCCTCCCACACCAAACCGTGGAGGAACAGAGTGGGAGTGGATGCTGAGGGAAGGCAAAGCCAAACACCCTGGATTTATGAGCAGGTTGTAACTCCAGCCATTCCACAGGTTGTGCAGAGAGCAAAGTTCACACCCGGGGCCATCGGTGGAGCTGAGTGTTCACAGTTAGGACAGGGTAAGTGGAGATATCCCCGGGTTGGTTTGGGTTGGAAGGCACCTTAAAACCCGTCCAGTCCCACCCCTCCCGTGGGCAGGGACACCTCCCACTAGCCCAGGTTGCTCCAACCTGGCCTTGGACACTTCCAGAAACTGTGGGGCAGCCACAGCTTCTCTGGGAAATCCATTTCAGCACCTCCCCACCCTCAGAGCCAAGAATTCCTTCCTTAAATCGTCTAAATCAACCCTCTTTTAGTTTAAAGCCATTCCCCTTGTCCTATCCTAACAAACTTTGTCCCCATCTGTGTTACAAGCCCACTTTCAGTATTCACCAGGAAAGGAGCTGGAAACACAAAATACAGCACAGACACAAATCCCAGTGACCTGCAGCGCTGCCCTTTATTTCGGCAACAAGTCCAGGAATCTCCCAAACCTGCTGGAGCAAGCACTGGAAGCTACTTAATTTTTTACAGGAACACGATACTAAATGATGTGCAGGTAAACATGTGTTAATTAAAAAGTATTTGCTCTAAATCCTGATTAAAGAATGAAACAAGAAAGATTCAGTAACTCAGAGCACCTCTTGAACAGCCCCCACTCCATCACTGGAACGTCCTTCCCCAGTATTCCCACTCCACTGTTATCCTGTAGCAGCTGCAAGTCCAAAATCCAGTGGAAGCAGCAATAAACAGCCCTCACCCACAGTACTGAACCAAAGTACAGACAGAGTGGGAAAGCCTTGCCTGCCTGACCTGCTGACTGCTTCCCAAAGGCTTCCCTGTGTTCTTCCCCCTAAAACGAAGCAGGCTGTTCCCAAGCTGGGTTTCAAGTGCAAAGATGAATTTAGTTTCCTTCAGCTTCCCAAGTGACCCAAGAGCAGTGCTGGAGACAGAGCCGTGCTGAGCCAGCTCTGCCTTCATCCTGCCTCCAGGAAGAACAGAAATGCTGTAAATGCTGATTGGCTGATAAAGCCCAACCAAAGTTCTGCTGCCAGGGTGAAGCGAGGGGACATCATCCAGCAGTGACACCCTCCTGGACTGAGCAGTGTCCACTATCCAGGTGGCAATGGAGATGGATCACTCCCAAGGGACGCAGCTCCTCCCCAGCACTGAGCTGTGATGCAGGGGAGGGTGTCAGACTCCACCAATTTGTACCCTGGCTTGGAGCTCCTCAGGCACGTCCTACTGGTTTAACAAACAATTAGCCACCAACCCAGGGGAAGTGGCTCTAATTGCCTCCCAAGAAACATTATTTCTGTACCAGCTCTCTGCTGACCTTTCCCAAGCTGGCTGAGAGGACAAGACCAGTTCTCTCTCCCCATCCTCGTGTTCTGGTTTGCTTTCCCAACAAAAAAATGGAAGTTTTGTCAATGCAACAAACAACCTCAAGTTCTGACTAAAAAACTCATTTCTCCAACCACCTCAGAGCACAGAACACACACTCTGGGTTAGGTGTTGCACTCAGGCCATGGGAATTCAGCCCTCCTGGTTCTCTCTCCTCAGGCAGGAGGGGATTCCCATCTGCCCTTGAGCATGGGACACCCCAGCCCTGCACAGACAGCACCTGGGAACAGTTCTGGAACAAGCATTAGGCATTTTCCCTCCCTCAGCAGCGTTTCCCTCTCCCCCTTGATCCTTACACCAGAACTCCAGAGCCCCTGCGGAGGATCAGGGTGGGACCCAAAGGAGGGGAAGGGGCAGAGCAGGAGGCAGAGCCCTGCTGGTGGCTCCTGCTGGATGTGTTTTCCACGTGGTGTCCCAGCAGTGAATCACAGCCACACGGGCGAGGGTTCCCTCCCAGCTGCCCATCTTGGCAGGGCTGGGGTTGCCACAGGGATGTTGTGAAATCACTGCAAAGGAAATGCAACAATCCTGAGGCACGGGGAGCTGATCCCACTGAACCTGGGGGTTCTTGTAGGGGGGGATATGATTAAAGCTCAACCTCACAGTGTCTGCTGATGAGCTCAGGCACTGATTGAATTTGGAAAAAGCTGTTGTAGAAGAAAGCAGCTTCCCAAAGGGACTTTGTCCACAGATTTAAATGCTTTCATGAAGAAGGCTCGGGTTTTTCATCTTCACTTCATGGCAAGGAGAATAGTATTTTTACTTACTGACATCAACTGAAATAGATGCAAATAAACTGATTCAGGTTTCAAATACAGCACCCAGACCTTCATTTTCCTGGGCCAGCTGAATTAAAAATGGTAATACTGACTGTGAGTTTAGCCAAGCTACACATCCACCTAAAACTGGAGCTGAAAATTCCACAGCCTCTGATTAAACAGAAATGTGAAAGCCAGTTTCATATAATTATTTAGTGCTGGCAGCACTGCCCAGCATTTTCTGCAGAGAAACAGTAACTTCCCCACTCCAAATAAAGTGAGGAGAACCTGCCTCCCCAAAACTGCAACAGTGGAAAGTTTCCTGGAAAAACCTCCCCAGGGCATTCCAGCAGGACCCCTGGGGGGTAGAAGCACCTGCTCAGCTTCCATCCCTCATCCCAACCAAAATCAGGGCAAGCACAGCAGCAAACAAGGGCTCCAAAATTGGCTGTGTGTAGCCAGAGCCTCTGGAAACAAATCCCACTGGAATGTGCTCAGGTTTGGCTGCACAACTCCAGGGAAAGGCACTGCCCCACATGTGCCCTCTTAATCTGAGGCCCAGTCAGCTGATCCCAGGAATGCATCCCAAATATTCCATGGATTGAGTCAATCACTCTGGGGTGCAGAACTGCCCAGCACAGTCATGGTTCAGGCTCCCCTGGTGGCCTCATTCCCACCTGTGCCTGTGATGGGCAGCTAAAAACACAAATTGCGTCCAAAAACCCATCCAGTGAGATCAGGGAAGTTCTGGGAGGTCTTGTCCCAAAAACTTCCAGTCAGGTATCCACTGCCAGAACTGTGAGAAGGAAAGATTCACCTCTCTTGGTCAGAGTGTTACTGGGAAACTGCAAAC